GGCTGGTTGAACCTGGAGAGTCTGAATCTGTAAATACAGATTGCAAGCCACATTCCTAGATGGGAATATGCTTTAACAATACTTTTAGAATAACATAAATCCAGTCTTACTTACTTTGATAGTTACATGCTATATATAGTATGTGACATAACATAACAGCACCTAACACTCATTGATGAGGTTGTGGTCACGCTCCTGAGCATTTGGCTTTAAATTGTGGCTAAATTACTTATCATACATGATACAATATAACATAAAATTATTGTATTCTCTTTTAGCTCCAATTACCCATGAGGAAACCATGATATAAAAAAGGGGGCTAAGTTACTGAAAACTGTGCAGGTAAAAAAGACAAGAACTTATCTAAATTTGTTCAGAACCCAACCATGTAGCTAATGGGTTAGCACAGTTTAGAGTTAAGAAGCCGACTAAATGGAAGATCATTCCTTATCAGTTACCATAACCTTAGCCTGGAGTTTTATTAATTTAAAATTATTATCTCTGGAAATGCAAAGAGGGGGATAAATACATGAGAAAAGATTTTTAAAAATGAACTTTGTTCATAAATAATTAAAATTTTTGAAATAATTTCTGGCTTCAAGCCTCAAAGACCATGGGAAGAATATTCAATTGACACAAGAGAGAAAAGAAAAGTAGAAAAGAGAACACAGCGAAATCCTCTGGCAGACATTACCCTGAAACAGTAGCTTTGATCCTTTCCATTTCTGGAGTTCCAAGAAGGAAATGCGAAAATGGACTCAGGAAAGAAACCAGCCATAGACAACGTGGAGGCCAAGGCACTTTCCTGCTTCACATATTTCCTCTCAGGGAAGATGTTAAGTTTAGTTCATAGGACTATTATACTTTGGATCTAAAGTTTTATAATTTCATAACTCCATGGGCAGAAAGTCATGTTGAAACATATGCTATGAAACTTATCAAAAAAGTATCTCTTTCCTTCTTTATAAGCTTTTGCATCTATTTCTAAAGCACTGTTCAAACCTCTTCTAAGCACTTAATAAGTTTGAGATCCAAAAAAAAAAAAAGTAAGAGTTTTAGAATCAAAATCACCATATTATCATTTAAGAAAATAAAATAGATTTAAAAGAAATACTTTATGTTGTGGTGAAAGTATCACTAATAAAGTGTTCAAAAACAACGCAGGGCTCTAAAAAATAATTATTCAGGTTCTTTGAGAAAAGTTTTAATGTAGCATCCCCATTTCCCAAAACAACCGCAATCTATACCATGAACTATCTAATTACCCTCTGAAAATTACGCACGCCTCATCACAATCAGCTATCAACTTTTCAGTCAGTTAAAAGGAAGCTGAGAAACCCAAAAACATAAACAAGGTTTATAAATGCAAAGAATGCCCTTGGAGTCTTTAGAAAAGTCAGAGAGCACAGATACTTATGCGTAAACTCTCCCTTTACTACCCAATTCTGAAAGGCATTTTCTAATTGGAGGTGTCGAATTTCAAAATCAGGAAGTGTCTTCTGAGCCTGCATCTAAGTGGCTGTGCCGTCCACTAGAGGGCAACAGAGTGTTCTCAGAGAGAAACGTGGCAGTGTGTCTGGACTTAGGTCATGAGTTCACTCACTGTGCATACTAGTCGCTATTTGATTATGATATGAGATCCTTGAGGGCTAAGTATGTTAGCAGACAGTGTGTCCTCATAAAAGTGTTCTCATTCTAAATTTAGTCCTGTTGGCATTTTCATTTTTCACATAATAATAATATATTAATCCAAATGTTGTCTCATATTAATCAAGTATCTTCTTATAAAACTAGTTTGAGCAATTTAATAACTTTAAAACTATTAAAATGTACCTTAAGTTAGTTTCTTTGATGTTTCGGGACTTAAACAAGCTGTTCTAAATCAAAACTTGCAAGTGAAAATACAGTAATAATAGTGCCGTAGTATCAAAAGCCAGCAACGGACATTCAACACATAATTCTTCTACACTAACATCGCAGTAGCTAACATTTTGCCATTGAACAAACTGCTGAACCTGAATATAAATAAGGCAGATGAGAAGCTTTTACTCTGCCCAAGGAGCATCTATACCACAAACAAAGCTCAGGCTGAGCTAAGAGCACTGCCTCCAAGCTTAGCCCCTTCCATCTGCAGAACCTAGCCAAAGGTAGACATTGGTGTACCGTATGTACTAGTCTATATATATTTAATAATGTCATGGCAGCAATTCAGTTTTCATAAAAGTTACGTACTTTCACATATGATGTCGTAGTTGCCTTCTTTAGCCATGCCAAAAATAAAACAATTCACAATGTGAGTAACTGTTTTAAAAGTCTGCTGTTGAGTAGCACGACCATGGGATTTAGAAGTCGCCTCTTCAGCAAACAACTTGTGAGTAAACGCTATTAGACCTTTCCCTGATTTGACATCAAATATTCCGCCTCTAGTTTCTAGCCTACGCTGTACTGCACTGATGAGTTTTCCATAAGTGTAGCAACAATAGCTGTCAGTGCTTTTGGGTTCTAATTTTTGCCTTTGCTGTTTCGTGCCTTGCTTACAGGCTATCAACAGACTCTTGTGGCCAGTTCCCCCTGCAGGCAGCCTATCCCAGGAATGGAAATATTCTGATTTTAGCATGATTACGCACATCCCTCTGAGCTCCTTTGTGCCTGCTGTCTGTCCATATTCTATCTGTGAAAGAGTAGTAGGCAGCCAGTTTACAAACAGGTGGTTATTGAAGCCCAACTGAGCCTTGAACATTCTTGGGAAGGCTTGATAGGCCACAGGAGATCCACAAACCATCGGTTGAAATTACTACTCACTCTAAACTGACTGCAGAGTAAGGGAAAGGAGTTTGGCGGGCCCTGCTTCCACACTAGACATCAGAGCTGTAAGAAATCTAAGACTGCACAGAGAACATCAGGAAAAATAAGACAGCTCTCTTTTTTGCTATTTTTTTTTAACAAAAGAAGGAATTGGAGTATTTTTTTTTTTTTACAGGCACAAAAGTGCAAATCCTTCTCGATTGTGTAGAACAATGACAGACTTCATGGAAAGGCATGAAAGTGCATTCAGAAAATAGCTGAAGCTGTACCTGATGTGCAGGAATCCTCTGCTAGGATTCTAACTAATTGTCTCCCTCTGTCTTCTTATTTAATGATGGTGCCTAGTCCCATTTCAAAAGACACACATAATCACAGCTTTTTCTGTGGCTAATAAACAGGCTATGGTTTCAAAAATCTTTTCAGAAACAGTTGAAAGAATGCATCAGAGGAAAGAACTGTGTTGGACAGACAGACCTCCGTAGGTACTGATAACAGAACCTTCCTTCCTGAAATGGGGTTTGGAATAAGGTTAGGGTGAGACAGTTTCTTATGTCCCTTCTTGAATGGAACATTTCCCTGCTTTTTGTGTGGATACACTGGCAGGGCAATTTGAGATGGAGTCTGCCGTCATCATTAACAATCAAGCCAAGTATCTCAACTGTCACTGGAAGAAGCAGAAAGTGCACTAGGAAAAGGTAAGAGAATGCCCACCATTCAGTGTGATAAGGAGGAAAAATCATACAATATTCTGTTTTGCCTTGCATTTCTTTCTTTCCTTCTTTCTTTCTTTCTTTCTTTCTTTCTTTCTTTCTTTCTTTCTTTCTTTCTTTCTTTCTTTCTTTCCACTTTGTATCCGGCTGTGGCCCTCTCCCTGGTCTCCTTCCAATCCCAACCTCCCTCCCTCTTTTCCTCCTATATCCCTCCCCTAGTCCACCGATAGGGGAGGTCCTGCTTTCCTTCCATCTGACCCTAGCCTATTCAGGTCTCATCAGAACTGGCTACACCATCTTCCTCTGTGGCGTGGCAACACCCCCCCCCCCCAGGGGGAGGTGAAAGCTCAGGCTGTAAACTCAGTGCTCAAGAGACAGAGATGAGAGAATCACTTGATCTCATGGCCAGCCAGACCAGCTAAAATGAAACCCTGTCTTTAGAAACCACAAACAAAAGAACTGTCATTAAATGCCTTACCAGATACTATTAACACAAGGAACACAAGAGAGGTAAGAACCTTTAGTCCCTGCCTTGTAGAAGCTGACAATCTACTTAGAGATACAATTCCCTTGTGAAATGGCTACCTACCCTACAGAATAAGTCAAACCAAGCGTCAAGAGAAAATATAAAATGCAAAAGATTAATGTAAGTTTGAAAACACACACACACACACACACACACACACACACACACACACACACTGAGCCACAAATATAAATAAGCCTACTATAAACAGTGCTAAGGGTATACAGAAGAAACCTTGGAAGCAGTTCCATTTCTGAGGATAACACAGAGTTCATAATAAACAGAGTGTTTTGATCACAATAATCCAAGATATTTCCATGGAATAGCTTACTTTATACCATTCTCAAAGTAGCAAGAAGAAAAAAATCCATTAAATTGCCATATTTTGATGAATTGTTCCCAAACAGTTAACAGAACACTTTTAAAGTTTCCTAAATATTCAACGTACTCAATGTAATGCTTTTCTTTTGGGGTAGGGGTGGAGACTGACTTTGAAGGAAGACAGTCACATGATAGAGTGTGCCATCTACTTTAAGAAAAATCTACACCACAGCTCTCCACGAGTCATCCTTATCCCACGACATTCTCTAATATAAAACACAAAACACGTTACAACCTCAGGCATTAAGATGAATATTTGGCAACTGTCTGGAATAAACTCCGGAGCCAGCAGCAGCAACTCCAACAGCCTCTCTGGCTGACACTAATTTATTGAGATGTATTGGGAACTCTTGAGAATGAAGAGTCTGCGAATTAGACCACCACAAAGAAGTTCCCCAACTTCGATAAACTTCATGCAAGCATTTGATGACGAACTCTGATTTATGAGCTGTCCAGGTGAAATCTCAGCAGATGGTATCCTTTAATAATAACTGACACACAAGTTGTTAAGGAATCCAATGGCTTGAAAATAGGCTGCTTGATAAAGGAAGATGAAAAACGTTTTCAGAGTCGCCTACCTTATCTTTGTCTTCAACAACATCTGCTAGGACGTCATCCGGATCCAGGATTCCTCCATCTGTGTATTCTAAGTGATGAATCTTCACCCAGTACCCAGGATCCTGTGGTGAAAAAAAGTAAATTTGATGACTCTCAGGAAACAATCAGTCACTGGAGGAAATCAAGGCAAGAACTCACACAGGACAGGAATCTGGAGGCAGGAACTGAAGCAGAGGCCTTGAAGGAGTTCTGCTTACTGGCTGGTTCAGTCTGCTTCCTTATGGCACCCAGGGCTACCTACCCAGGGTGGCCCCATACTCAGTGAGCTCAGCCCCCTACAGTCATCAATAATCAAGGAGAAGCCCTACAAGCTTCCCTACAGGCCAATCTTTATTATTGTTATTATTAATTATAGTTTATTCACTTTGTATCCTGGCAGAACCTCCTCCCACATTCCCTCCCAATCCCACTCTCCCTCTCTCTTCCTGCCCTATATCCCTGCCCTGGTCGACTGATAGGGGAAGTCCTTCCTCTACATCTGGCCACAGCCTATCAGGTCTCCTCAGGACTGTCTGGATCCTCTTTCTCTGTGGCCGAGTAAGGCCACCTCACCAGGAGGAGGTGATCAAAGAGCAGGCAACAGGCCAATCTTACAGAGACATTTTTCTCTATCAAGAATTTCTCTTCTCACATACGTCTAGGTTTGTGTCAAGTTGACACACTAGTAAAACTTCTAATGACAAAAACCAAGGTCTTTCATATAAATAATTGTCACTTTTATCCTGTTTAGCTTAAAAAATACCCATCTCAGAGTTTTTTTGTTTTTGTTTTTGTTTGTTTGTTTGTTTTTTCTGAAATCAAATTACTATGTAGAAAATGACTCACCCAGACAACCTGAAAAGCATATTCCAGCTTAAGTAATGCCAAAAATATACTAAAGGAGAATAATCTTGAAGGTGCTTTCTCAACTTTAGATAGTTCAAGCTGTAATATAAAATTCTCACAGCTATCACTTCAGAAAATCACAGTGGAAATGGGAAGGGAAAGGTCACTGCACAGACTCTTTTGCCTTTTTCACTCTCCACACTCACTGTGCCTCCTCAATGTTGGTATTTTAATGGTACCCAGAGAAAAGCTCCAGCTCTGTTCCCATTTCCCACAACATGCTAATCCCTGGGTAGCTGTGTTCAGAATTGACCTTATGATTTAATTATTTTTAAATTCTTAGTTTTAAAAAACAGTCTAATATGATATAGCTTTTTCAATTTTTTGTATGCTGCCTATTTCCAGGAAAAGTAAGAAAATAAAGAATGATAAAATGGGAAAGAATATAAGCCAACGAATGAGGGGGAATTAAAGCATCAGTAGAGATTTTAAGGAATAGTCAAGCTAAAATCAACTTGGTTCTATGATTTTTAACCTCAAAAAGTACAAAAGCGTTAAGCTATAAAACGCTTGGTAAAGGAACAAATTCCAGTTTCTAAAAAGAGATGGAAATCCTCCTAGGATAAAGCTTTAAGCCTTATCAAATGAATCTTTATTAAGAGTAAGAGCTAACAAAACCCACAGAATGCAATTCTGATTTTTACAAAAGCTAATAGAAATGACTACCATACAGCTTTCCCTGTGACCCCTGGTGAAAAGCTAGGGCATGCTATTGAGGTGTGGCCCAAATATACAACTTTATAATAATGCAACATGAAATGGTTCAATGATAGACTTAAAAGTCTGAAGGCATTTTCATTCACTAGGCTTTAAATATCTCAAAATTATGTCGCTATTTTTTAATAGAGTATCTGAAGAGCAATTCTAGGAAGAATAAGGCTTTCATTTGCTTCTAATTCTAGGATTATAAGTGCAAACACTAATAATAGAGTAGGAAACTTGAAATACCTACCTCTGTTACGCAGATGAGAAGCCAAAGCTATGAGCAGTAAGAAAACAGATAAGCAAAGCACAGAATACCCATCTCTCAGATCCTGTAACCAGAGACCTGGACCAACTCAAAGCAACTGTGTTGGCAACAGTGAGCTAAATACAGGAAGTAAGGTTCCAGATGTGGTGCCCTGAGTTTATACAGAAGACAATGCCAGCAGACTACATTGGTTTCCTAGAAACCTCCAGAGGTTCAATCCTGATACAGCCATGCCACAAGTAACACGCTTCTCCACACAGATACACAACCAAGAATACTTGTTTTTTACCGTCTGCTAAGGAACAAAGTCCAAGTTAATTAATTGCACTGAGTTGTTGTTGTTGTTGTTGTTGTTGTTGTGTGTGTGTGTGTGTGTGTTTTAGTAGGACCAGGTCTGTAGATGCAATTTGTTGACATATAATCATATGATCTAGTTTGCTTTCTGTTGCTGTGGTAAACTTTGACCAAAAGCAACTTGGGAAAGAGCAAAGTTCACATGGGTTATAGGCTACATCTGTCATCAAGGGAAGCTGAGGTGGGAACTTGGAGGCAGGCAGTGGAGTTCACTGGCTTAATGGCTTGTTCCTAGGCTCACCAGCAGCTACTTTTCTTATAGAGTCCACGCCCACCTGCCTAGACTAACAGTGACCAGAGTGAGCTGGACCTATCTGCATCAATTAGCAATCAATAAAATGACCTACAGACTTCCCAATCTAATCTAAACAGTTCCTCAACTGAGCTTCCTTTTTCTTAGGTGTCACTAGTTTGTGTCATTGACAAACACTAACCAGCACACTATAGTTATAGAATGGGAGATATTTTGGAAATGCCTCTTTAAATAGAAGTAGTTAAAAGAAGAACACTGCGGGTTGCTTTTCCCTTGGGCTCAATTCATGAGAGTAGATCAGATCACCAAAAACTAAAGTAGACAAGCATCCTTAGCAACTGCAAGACACATTAATTCCACCTTACTTCCTTTTAAGAGGTATAAACCAAAGGTATGAACAGAAGGAAACTAAGTTCTGATTTAAAATAGGAAAAATATAAAATAACAACTGAAAAACAAAATAAAACAAAACCACTAAGTAGGATTTTTTTTTTATCATTATAACAAAAATGTCTGACAAATGATAGCAGGAAGAGGCTATGAAGCCACACAGGACTCCTTCCTAGGAAACTGTTAGGGAATCTAAGCCAGCTTAGAGAGCAAAACATAGGTATAAGATACTTCAACTGGTTAAAAGAGTATGAATATAAACTGAGTTTTTTCAAGCAGTTTCATAAATGTGTGTTCACATTTAACAAAATGGTCATTATATAGTACTGCCCCCTCAATGAAAATGCAATTTTAAATCACTATCCCACACTAATTCTGTCATTTTATACATCCACTAAAACAAAAGTGAGACAGTTGAGATGGTGCATGAAGTAAAAGCACTTGCTCTGCAAGCCTTATGACCTCATTTCCGCCCCTGGGAACCATGGTAAAAGGACAGAACTATATTCTGAAATTGTCCTCTGATCTCTTCACATGTGTCAAGGTGCCATTCTTTGTCTCTGTCTCTGTCTCTCTCTGTGTCTGTCTCTCTCTTCTTCCTCTCTCTGTATCTCCAACACATATATATATATATATAAACACATACACACACTCAGTATATATATATACATATATATACATACATATATACATATATATATATTTTTTTTTAAAGAGTAAACTCATATGCTCACATATCTAATCCTGGAGAAAAACAGGCAAGCTCTAAAACAGCAGTCTCAGGTGAGTTTTTAATACATTCAAGATAGGAGAATCAATAAACAAGAACCCATCTAACCATGGTCCTGTCTCTGTGGCATTCAGCTATGGTTCCATAGATCACTTTAAGAATATGGGTTCAGTATTAGCAGCCAACAGCTATTACAAGATCGTAAATTCACTCTGACCTTTTTATGAATGTAAACATTTCAACCATAACATTGCAGTCAATAGTTTGCATTTTGTTTACATGGCTTTATTTCCATCAGAAAAAAAAATACAATCAAATATGGAAAGATACACATGTGTGTCATGGTTCACAATTAATCCCTTGGATCACTTTAATGTTTTTTTTCATGATCATGACATTCAGTTTACATTCATGTAGCACACATATCTGTAACATAGATAAGTACTATTTTAAATAGTTCGGTGCATGTGCTCATTTTGCAATTCAAAAGATCTTATTAGCTATACTCCAGGGATTATTAAGGTATTGAAAACTAATATACTGTATGTCGTATTTTCTCTCCTTTTAATAATAGACAGTTAATGTAAATCTTTCTGGAATTTGAAACCAGAATAAGCCAGCCTACAGGGATAAATACGAGAAACTAGAACAAAAATATTAATTAAAGGAACAAGATAGTAAAATGGTATTTGCATTGAATAAATACAGAAATTGTTCCAAACATGTACTGGCATTAATAAAGAAACTTCGCTGTGGATAAGTGACATAAAATTTGACTTATGCCTTAAAAACTATATTAACCTGAGAATGAAATAACTGTAATCTCCCATGTGCAATGCCTGAAGAAGCAGACCAGCAAACCATGTGCTGTAATTATGCCAGGAAACAAAGGAGAAACATGCATGTCTCTAAGCTAATACTTAGAAGTAGAAGAAGGGGAAAAAAAAACAGTTTGCAGTGACATGAAGTTCCAATGAAAAAAATCACTGCAAATGAAAAGCCAGTGACTGAAGGACTGCATTGAACTTGAACTCCTAGTGGCACTGACAGAGCTCAAGCATGCGCCTGGGCTCCTAGTGCCTGGTCATTGGAATCATCATGCCCACTAGAATTCAAGGACAACTGTAGAATGGAAAATAATGGAAATAATGGAAAAGACATAATTTTCTTTGCAGAGCATGGACATTTCATAGCACGAATTCACAAATGAGATTTCTTTGTTGCTTTAAAAAATTATTTACTTTATATCCCGATCATAACTTCCCTTCCACCCTCTCCTCCTAGTCCCTCCCTCTCACCTACAACCCCAATCAACCTCTTCTCCTCAGAAAAGTGGAGGCTTCTCCTGGATATCAATGAGCCTGGACATATCAGGTTTCAGAAAGAATAGGCACATTTTTTTCCTATTAAGTCAAGACAAGACAGCACAGTTCTGGAAAAGGGCTCCAAAGGCAGGCAAGTATAGTCAGAGACAGCCCTG